AGGTTGTAGCCAGGTGGGGGTTGGTCTCTTCTCCCAGGCAGCTATCAGCAAGACAAGAGGGCATGGTCTTAAGCTCTACCAGGGGAGGTTTAGGTTAGATATTAGGAAGTAATTCTGTACAGAGAGGGTAATCAGGCATTGGAATGGGCTACCCAGGAAGGTGGTGGATTCACCATCCCTGGAAGTTTTTAAGATGTGACTGGATGTGGCACTTAGTGCCATGGTCTAGTAACCATGGTGGTGTTGGATCAAGAGTGGTCTTGGTTGATGATCCCGGAGGTCTTTTCCAACCTGGCTGACTCTATGATTCTATGATTCTAATAGTAGTTCAAGTGCTTATCCATCTGTACTCCACTCCTGATACACTACGTCCTCCACCAAACTCACAATGTTTTGCCCAACTGTCTTAGCTCTGAGTGCTCGTGTGTCATTTCCTTGCCTCACCAGTCACAGCACAGCAGAGGTATTTCCATATCTAGTGTTTCTCAAGCTTGTGGCTGGTGGACTGGCTGAAGCATTTTTATCCTAAGGAGAAGAATGTCTACAAGGCTAAGGTATAAAGAGACATGAAAAGTACTCTTCTGCCTGTCCTTATTACCTCATGAGTGGGTTATTCTTTATGTGCCTAATAATCTAAGCTGCTCCGTGCCATTAAAAGAACAGGTATTTCTGTAAGTCAAACCATCCAACTGTATCCACACTCTATCCCCTGATAGAAGTCCACACAACATTTTCATTCAGTGAGTGACTAGGTTTCTTAAAGGCTTAATGCCTGTAAGGCTTCCATTGCTGGGCCACAGTATCTTGCAGGTCTTCTGAACAGGTAGGTAAGCCTCTCACTGATTTACCTACACTGCTTTCTCTGGTTTCCTGCCATCCTCACTGTCACTTCACCTTTTCAAGAAAGAAGGTTATCACACAGCAAGACTTGGAGATTATAAGCACTTAATACCCTACTCATGAGTCAATGCTTAAGTTTCTCCTTCAGTCAGAATCTTGCTTCTATCTAATGTAAGTGGATTTTTGTCAGTTTTTTTTTTTCCTCAAACTCTACCGCCCTTATCTGTGGCTGTGCATGTTAACAGCTTTCAGATTAAATGGAGTTTGTAAGCCTAAGTGTGTATTTTGCATCTTCTTTCATTAGTGTACTTAGGTCAGTGAATTTTGTGGAGCAGCTCCTTGGGGCTTAGTACTTGCTCATCAGGTTTGCAAATGGTGCCAAACTGGGGAGACTGTTTGGTTTGCTGGAGGACAGGGCTGCCATACAGGGGACCTGAACATGCTACAGGAATAGGACTACAGGAACTTCATGAGATACAACAAGGACAAATGCAAAGTGCTACCCCTGGAAAGGAAGCACTCCTGCAGCAACCCAGACTGGGGATGAGCGACCTTGGGATCCTGGTGGAGAGCTGAGAGTGGGCCAGCTCTGCATCCTGTCAGCAAGGATGGCCAGCAGCCTATTGGTCCTATTGATTATTGCCTCTACTGAGGCTGGCGAGTTTTTCTTCTTTATCACAGCAAGTCCAAACACCTTAGTTGAGGCACCCATAGCTGGGGACATGATGTTGATATGTATTGCTTAGCCTGTACCTGCACTTTTCTGGATTCTGGTGGCAACAAGGTTCTCATCATGTCCTGGCCGAGCTGTGATGACTCTCCATTCCAAGAACTTGCCATAGGGAGACGTCTGAGGACCCTGAGGGCAAAGGCACAGGCTCAACAGGTACTGCTACAGAAAGCTGGCACTGTCTTGATTAATAGGCACGTTTCTTTTAATTTGCCCACACAGAAGCAGCTCTGCAGTGTTTAACATCCTGCTTTGCAGACGCTGCTGAGCTCTTTGGGCTGGAAGTCAGCTTAAAAAAGACAGAAATTCTCTATCAGCCAGCACCTCAGGAAGTCTTCCATCATCCCCACATCACCATTGGCCAACCAGAGCTCAAATCAGTCCAACAGTTTAATTACCTTGGTAGCCTCATCTCCTCAAATGGTAAGATTGACGGGGAGATAAACAACAGGTTAGCAAAGGCATATAGTGCTTTTGGAAAACTGCACAAAAGAGTATGACGTAATAAACACTTGAAGAAAAGCACCAAGATCAGTGTTTACAAAGCCATAGTGCTGTCTAGTCTTTTATACGGTTCCGAATCATGGGTCATCTACCGCCACCACCTGCGACTCTTAGAACGCTTCCATCAATGCTGCCTCCGTACAGTCCTAAACATCCACTGGTCAGATTATGTGACCAATACATCTGTTCTAGAACAAGCAGCAGTCACAAGTATTGAGGCCATGTTGCTGAGAACACAGCTGCACTGGGAAGGGTACGTCTCAAGGATGAAGGACCAGCGCCTCCCTAAGATCCTGCTTTATGGTGAACTTACCACCGGCTGCCACAAGAGAGGAGCCCCGAAGAAAAGATACAAGGACTCCCTGAAACAACATCTCAGCCTCGGCCATATTGATCAACATAACTGGTCTACTCTGGCCTCAAATCAGGAGGCCTGGAGACACACCATCTATAAAGCTGCTGTTTCCTGCATGCGGGATCACTCTTGAGGAGAAAAGACAACATAGAAAGAATCGTGTCTTGCAGAATACACCACCTAAGGAGTCTTTCTGCTGTGCCTTTTGCAATCAGACTTGTCTATCTCGTATTGGCCTCATTAGCCACCAACGTGCTTCTTACAAACGTGGATAGAGCCTTTCCCAAATCTTCGTTCGTGAAGCCTAGCCATGAAAACAAATGTACATGCTTGGAGGGATACTTTTTGTTTTGTTTTCAAGACCAACTTATTCCTTTCATATTTTGCTGAAATCCTTTTTTTGGTTCTTCCCTTTTCATACAAAAGAACTTTTACACTCACCCTATCATCTTGGCTTGACATTTTCATTTTCTCCTAACCCAACAGTTACAGTGTTGTTATTATACACTGTTGGTTTTTGTCAGCTGATTAGAGGTAACTGAACTTTGAAAACAATGTAAAGGATTCTGATTCAGTGAGTAATTCAGTCTGATACTGATAGCAGATGTCATAAAAGGGATTACTGTCTGGGTTTTACTGGTGTGTGGCAATCAGTAAAAAACTTCATTCTGTAAATGTCTAGTTAAATTACAAAAACTGATTGATTTTCTCACTCTTAGTGCTCAGCATCATTTAGAAAAAAGAAAATATACCGGATCATTAAGTGTGTGAATGGAAACCAGGTCCAAGTGGATGAAAGCTTCTGTGATCCTGCCACAAAGCCTCCATCATCCAAAACCTGCAGAGTGGTTCCCTCTAAATATGTTGTGCTCACAGGAGACCTGTCACAGGTACAGTAATTATACTGCTCACGCATCTTCTATATAACTTTACATTTTAAAATATTATACTTCTGTAAAATGTACTTTATGTGTGTAGCAAAAAAAAAAAAGGTATGTTTTCATTTGAACATGGGTGTCTAAACTTTCTCCACATTGACCCTCCCAATCAGCCATGATTTATTGTAGCAGCTGTTATCAGCCCTCTGTTAACCCGCCAGGACCTGTGATCACCAGCTATAGGAGAGCTGCCCCTACCACAGGATTGCTTTGCTGGTTCCCAGGAAACTGTCTTGCAAGCTGACATCACTCAAGTAACCAAAAATGTTTTCCTTGATGTCAGTGAAGCGATTGATCGGTGCTTTGTTTCCCTTGCACATCTGCACTACCTGTGTGTGCCTGTCTGTGCGCGTTGCAGCTGTAAGGGAATGGCTCTGGAACCTCTGTGAGCTGTGAAAAAAGAGCAGCATTGACCTTTCCAGCTCCTTGCATGTGTAACTCTTGTAGACCTTCACTTCTGCATACTGATATGCCAGCCCAAGGTGGCATGCATCGGATCACAGGCTTTTACCAGAGCAAGGATCAGAGCTGACTTATCTGTAATGGCAATTCTGCAAAAAGGTTCAGTTTCACAGAAATAATGTCTGTGTTTGGGAATTTTATTTTAGTGTTCAACCAGCTGTAGGTTTGGTTACCAGCAGAGGATCACGTACTGTGTTGGAATCGATTCTGTTCAAAATCAGCATATCCGTGGCCTTCAAACTGTAGCGTACCGAGAATGCCCGGTAGAGCCATCCCCATACATTTATAAATGTAATATCAATGGATGTTCACAAGCAGCTACCTGGAGAGTGGGGAAGTGGACCAAAGTGAGTAGAGATCTGCAAGCTCATTTTTGATAGCTGTCTCTAACATAAAAAAGACTAATTTCCTGACATAATGATGTTAATTATTTACTACTTTCTAAACTAACTCTTGATGACTATCCATGTCTAGTGCTCAGTATCTTGTGGAGTGGGGATAAAGGAGAGAACTGTAGAGTGTATGGCTGAAAACAGCTTATCCAGTGACTTGTGCCTGCCACATTTAAAACCACATGCCAGAAGGATCTGCCATGAGGAAGAATGTAAGTGACAGCCGTAATTTTCTACTGAAGTTAATGTTTTCCCAGGCTATGTATATTAAAGCTATAAATATATTCAGAACACAATTATGCAAAATAAAGTTCTAAAAGTAAGCTCTATTCCTGAAATATTAATATGATTTAATCATTCATTTTGAAGGTGAAATTCTTACCACCTGCAAAGATATGCAGATTAAAAAAGGGATTAGAAAGGATGGTGAATACCTACTTAACATTAAGGGAAGGATGATAAAGGTACTGTTAATATTTATGAGCTTTTATGAACACATATGTTTATGAAATAACACTTTTCTAATAAAGATTTTGCTAAAGGGTTGTATGTTCTCTTCCAGATCTATTGCTCAGGCATGCACTTGGAGAATCCCAAAGAATATTTGACACTGGTAAAAGGTGAAGCAGACAACTTTTCTGAAGTATATGGATTAAGGTACATAACCAGTTTTATAATTTTATGAAGTGCATTTGTTCCTTCCAAAATAAAATAATAAAATAATACTTTCTCTGAGAAATATAAGATTTCTCCTTGATTTTCTGTTTTAAATATCCAGGCATGTGAACACACATGCAGAAATGTGGGTACTTGCAGGCTGAAATAATGTTACTTACACTAAATGATTATATTTGTTTTCTGTCTTGACTTTAGTAGGAACGGCTTCAATCGACATTAATGTTTCAGTTGAGCTAAGATTAAAAGCTGAACTTTTTGTTCAGTAATTGTTGTTTACTATTTTTTATGTGGTATATACACTTATTTTTCACTATGATATTATGTTATGGAAAAATGTCAAAAGGAAAACTAAATCTTTGCTATTCTGTAGGTTGCAGAATCCATATGAATGTCCTTTCAATGGAAGCAGAAGGCAAGACTGTGCCTGTCGAAATGATTACCTTGCAGCTGGCTTCACGGTTTTTAGCAAGATAAGATTTGATGTAGCTTCCATGCATATTAAAAGTAAGCATTTTGTCAGTTTTAGCCAATGTGAGCATTCTATTGACATTGTACATGGTTATGATTACCAAATTACCATTTTGATCCACTTATAGATCCAGTTGTGCCATTTTGGGGCAAAGAAAATCCTTATTTAATTTAGGAGTTCAATGGCAATTTCAAAGGTAAAAAAAAAAAAGAAAAACCACTACTACTTCCCATGTTAATTTCTCCCAGGTGGTCAAGTGGCATGAATCTCACAGATTCCTATTTTATATGTGAACTATCTTCATTTTATAAATTTTTTCTGTTTTAGTCCACAGCTTATTTTTCTTGTGGAAATCTTCCTATGCTGTACTTAGTCCCTTCTCAGAGCTTGGCACACACTAAGTAAATGGACAGGGAATCTTGCAGCACTTTCAAGCCCCTGCCTGAAGCTGGCAAGTTGGCCCATAACCAGCACACTTGGCACAGTCCATCTTCCTCCTAGCCCCTTTGTATGTCAAAAAGAAATCTGGGCTTGTAGGTTGGACTAGTGTTGCAATAACTAAAATTTAAATAAAGTGTAGTTCCTCAAATCAAAACACACATCCTCCCCCTCCAAATAAACAACAAAAAACAAAAAAAAACCCACCCAAATAAAAAAATTAAAACACCCTGTAAGGACTTTTCATACTGTTTTCACCTGAACTTCAGATGCAGCATTTTGTATTGAGTAATTTTCTGTTTTCTAGCCACAGATTTTCTTTTTGCTCGGACTATACTTGGGAGAGCAGTACCATTCGCTACAGCTGGAGATTGCTACAGTGCTGCCAGATGTCCACAGGTATTCAATGATGCAGTTATTTCTTATCTCCTTCAAATATTCACATAAGAGGGAAGAAAAAAATATTTGTGTGACTTATTTAGAGCTGTAAGGTTCTAAACCAGTCTCCTATTCTGTGTTGTCAGTGTACAACATTAATAAGTACTTTTTTCTTACTCTCTTCTCTCCTGTTCCACTATCCCCCGCTCTCACAGTTTCTCCCTCAAATTGTTTACTCCACCCTTTCCCTGTAGGCTCCATACATGAATATCCAGCTCTCTATGTGTTTCATGTACTACTCTCCCTCCCTCCCTCTGGATGTGATGCATCCTTTGTTTCCTCTTCTGAAGGGCCGTTTTGAAAGACATGAACAGAATGCCTTCTGAATGAAGCTAAATCAAATAATGAGCTCAGGGGAAGGATGTTATTACGCTCTTATTACACTCTAATGAGGATTCAGTCTGTGAAACTAGAAGAGAGTTAGTCCAAAGGAAGACACTGTCTATAGATGTTGGGCTCTCTGAGTCAACATTTTTACTCTACAGGTCTGCTCATACTCTATGTCCTTCTCAATAAGACAGAGGTAGCCCTAGTCTGAATTAGTCAACCTAGGCTGACTTTGGAGCTCTTTGGCAGAAATAGAATTCCTTAGAAAACACTTCAGCTAATCTTACCCTATTAGACAATTTAGTATGAGGTCAATTGTCCTCTGTAAGTGAATTTCTTTTCACTGATTATAAAGGAGTTAAGACTGACTGGCTCAGACTTGCATGGACATCTATCTACGTTGTCTATCTATCCTGGGTACCTAAACTTAAGTTCTGTGGGTGGAGGTAACCAAGGGCAGCTAGAGACAATTTATGTGCAATTTATGTACAAATGAAGGGCCTAAGTTCAGCAGACTTTAGCCCTGACAAGAAAACCGTTGGAGTTCATGACAGTATTGGACACCTTCAACCTGCAAACTCTTGTTGGTGCAGTCCAATACAAATCTGTTTGCGATCTGTAACTTCTGTTCTGAGGTCATTCTGCTTATGTGGTTTGGCACTGACACATTTCCATCTATAAGATCTGCACTGAATCTTACACTTTTGATGCAGTCAAAAGGCCTCCATTCCTGTACTCTCCATCCATGAAATCTGTTCCTGGCCTTGAGCATGCTGCATGATAAGTCAGACAGCTGATAAGCTATCATTATAATTGTGCGTAGCACTTCTCATTTATTTTTGCAAAGTGTCACTGTGAAAGAAGTTACTTTGGGACTGTTAACTGTGGAAAACATTCCACACCATTTGTAGGAATTTCCTCCTTCATTAAATGGAAGTCTTCCACTTTGTGGGCACTTGAAGAACAACCTACCCTATCCATAAAAGTTTGCGTTAGCTCTTCCTGAGTTAAATGCTATAAGCACAGCAACTTTACACAGAAGTGCTCTCAGAATAGATCTGCCATGCTGAACAATGGAAGACTGAATTTTTGCAAAGGAATTTTGGTGAATCACAAGAATAAAAGCTGAACACTGTAATTTTATACATGCACACATACATATACCCACAGAATTTTATATACATATATATGACATTATTAAGCAATAAAATACAGAAGCTACCATTTATAATAAAAATTGTACCTTTGCTAAAGCTTTGATCTTGTAGTTTAAGCAATTTGACTAGGTCTGAATGCAGAAATTCCAGCCTTCATTGAATAGTGTGGAGGTGTGCAGTTTTCTGACTGTAATGCAGCCTAAACTAATCATTAGGCTTTGTGGAGGTAGTATTTCTTTCCAGCATATTGCACTTCTGTAGGAATGCAATTTAATAATTTTCTGTATCCCAGTTTGTTTACCAAGGTAGTGCAGTTTGTTGCTTTTAATATATTTCCTATTCTCATATGAAGTGACTATTTTAAAGCTAGTTTTCAAGGTATTTGCATAGGCAAATATTTTAGAAAAAATAGCTTCTATATCTGTTTCGAATGGCTTACATTGGAAAACATTCCATTTAGCAATACATTTATTTATTTTAACCTCCACTTATGTTCATATTCAATTATCTTATTGGTTATACTGAAAAAGAAATAGAAGATGATAAAATAATGATGCTTAGACAGTGTGCTTGCAAAAGTTTGAGAATTAGATGGCTAAGAAGTGATTTGTCTGTAATTTTCAGACAGCAGTATGTTTTGACCATGTTGTTTCCAGAAAGTTTGGACACTTTAAAAACCAAAAAAAGTCTTTCAAGAAAACCAACCTCATTCTTGCCTTTTTCAAGTCTGTACTTTTTGTAAATTAAAATGTCTTATGTAGAAAAGGCAAAAATAATTTGAATTGTCTGATGTTAGTTTTGTCTTCAGACTCTGCAGACAGATGCTACAGATCAGCTGATGCACAGGTGGTGCTTACTGCAGTAAGCAATAAAAATAACTTGGGTTTTGTGTATATGTCCTGGGAGTCCATAGAAAGGCTATATTGCAGTGTAACTAACCCATATTATTTTTACACCTTTGAGTACTTAATATTTAGATATATCATAAGTGATATGTGCAGATATGCCAATGTAAAGTGTTCTAGTGGTTTGGACTCTTGTTTATCAGCTCTGTATTTTCTTTTTCTTTTCCTTGTCTTTTTCTTTTTTTTTTTTTTTCTAGGGACAGTTCAGCATTAATTTAACTGGTACAGGTCTGAGACTATCCAGTACAGTTAGGTGGATTGCTCAGGGCAACTATGCGACTGCTGACATACACAAATCCCATGTAAGTCAGTGGTGTTTTCCTTTATCTGCTCTTATGGCTCGGAATATTATGCCTGAAAAGGTACAGTTGACTGTAGTGAAAGCTAGTTGTGAATCAAAAATAGCACTCAAGGTCTCTGACCAATTTAAGTCTTCTTTCAGATGTAATGGAGAAAACCATGTTTAATCACACTGTTCAGTATCTAATTTAGACCAACACTGTCTGCCTACCCTTCTCTTAACTGATTTTAAGATTGTTGTTGTATTAATTAGGTCCATAAGAAGTTTTGCTATGCCTTTTAAAAGGGATCTTCAAGTATCTTCTTAAGATACTTTTAAAAAAAAAAAAACAAACGCAACACCCAAACCCCCACATTTTTTTAGAGATATCATAGTACAGATGATCCTTATAGATTGCTTACCTCCAAATTGATTCTCATGGGAAACCAAGACCAGTTGAACAGGAACAGCAAGTATGTGCAGTTTAAGGCAACATCGGATGATAAGACAGGAAACAAGGTATAAAGTGATAGTGATAAAGGATCTTTGTGCCTGTTTTTCTAATTTGATGCTGTTGCTCGGTTTAGTATTTGCAGGTACAATTTGTCAAAAGGCCTGTTGTGTGCAAACTTCAAGAAGCTTTTTGTACAACTGTGATTTCAATTGCTTTTCTTGATTGACTGTTCTCTTTGTCTAATTCCCAGGATGGTATTAAAATATATGGAAGATGTGGAGGATTTTGTGGAAAATGTGTTCCTAGCACAATTACTGGTCTCCAGCTTCAAATACAATGAGCACTCTGATGTACTAAGAGCATCAAAGCAGGGACATCTGCCATTTAGGCACAAACTGTAGATGCTATGTATATATATTTTAATTCTTTCATCTCTGTAATGCTCATTACTGTAACACTAACTACTAAAAATTCCTGTTTTCTTCAGGATTTACTTGGGGTCGTGTTGTGTGTATGTGGGCTAGCAAGTGCATAAATCACAGCCATAAACCTTCAGGTTAATGGGGGGCATTAATTCAATATACAGCATATATTAGCAATAAATTGCACTGAAGTTACTACCATGGGTAACACTTTAAATTTTACCATAATTGTAATTCTTTACCTGCAACTGATCAGTGTGATTCCTTATGTGGTATTCAGTAAAATTTACACTCTACTGATCTTCTTGGTCGGCTGTACTAGAATATAGAAAGGAAAGCTTTATTGCTCTATAGAGAAGAAAGGTAATAATTTCAAGTATTTACAATTTTGTGCAAACTTTTAGGGATTATCTGTCAATAACTTACAGCAGAAAAGTACATAACCAAAATGCTTGAGATAGTTTTATAGATCTATGTGTTTCGCTGTCAGTATAAGCATTTTTCCCCATCCCTTTCATTATATTCTTCATGGTGCTCAAATCCTAGCAGTAATCCTGAGAAGTGTGGTTTAGCCTCTGTAGTCTCTATGGCACGTTTTAAACATCTGGGCTTAGGTTTGTTGTGGGTACAGGAAAAGAAAATAAGAAAACAAATTGCTTTGAAAACTGATTTTAAATCCCTGCCTCTCATCCAAGTATACTGTAAAAGCAGTGTGTTCTGTTTACCGTACCATCTTGTATGTGGTTGTACAACTATGTATTTGCTTAAGCACTTTCCATATACACCTTACTCCTTTACCCTGGAAAATAGCATATTAGTAAAGGCTGAAGTATATGTCCTTCATATTCCAATTCAACATAATTTTCAATAACCTTAGTCAAAAACCTTGACAGAGGCAACATCAAGCCCCACAGTGGTTTTGGTGTCCATCTTTGACTCAGTTTGATTTTTCGATGTTTGCAAATACAGTTCTAACATCTGCTATTTAAAATTATTTCTTCGAGAAAAGTAAGTGTATGAAAAAGTTACAAGGTTTAAAAAATTATTTCGCTCTTTGATTTGTTGTTTTGTATTACTTTACAGTCCAGAACTGTAGAAATATATGCATATACAGATAATACATTTCAGGGCCAACTCTCAGGTATTCAGAATAAAATTTTCTACCTGCATAATAACATATATTATGTACCAGATAACTATACATGCTTTTTCTGAAAATATGCATTCTGTATACCAAATATTTATTTTGCATGCTAGTAAAATTAGTAGGTCAAATGGCAGCTATATCATATTTTTACCCACAAAGAGTTAGTCATGAATTAGCAACATGTATTAATTAAAAACAATATTGTACCACAGAATTGTATGCAGTTCCTGTTTTAGATAACACATGTATGTAATTATTTTGTGATCTCTGCATCAGAAATGTATTTTTGCACTATGTGCCTTGTAATAGCTGTAAACATTAATAAGAATATAAAACATTATTTTCCTAGAACTGTTTACATTTACAATTAAAATCTTGTAATTTATAAAATATTTATATAATAAATATGTTTGTGTGAATGATACCAGAGTACTTTTGTTTGGAATTTTTTTTTTTATCGTGTGCCTAGTACAAATGTTGTAAAAACGTTTAAACTTCTTTATGCACAGAATAGCAGCATTCTTAATACTTCTTCGCAGTGGTATGTGTTGACTTATACTCGACTAACTGCCACACAAGCAGGTTATAGTCATAGGAATATTTTCTATGGAAGCAAATTCTGCTTCAGAGGGATGAACTTCATGTCTATGTGCTCTTTGCTGTTGTCCACCCATATTGCCCTATACCTTTCTTTGGGGGTTGCCCTGTAAATCATTAACTGAAATAATTTAGAAATCTGAAATAATCTTCCTTCTCCTTGTGCTAACTGAAACCAATTCCTTTACAGCATCGTCCCTTGACAGCTGCTTTGACAGTCCATATAAAGGCTAGAAAGCATTCAGCTCTGCTGCCTCAAAGGCACTCTGAAAATCCACTACCAAGCAAAATGACAATGCAATATTCAACACAGCCGGTTTTTCTTGGGTAATAGAAATGATTTTTGAGTAAAAATGTATTTTATATGATTCTAGCAAACCCTGTGGCCCACTTCAACTTCTGCATAGAACAGCACTGTACTTTATTGTAGTTTTTTGTGTGTTTTCTTTCTTTTATCCTGGATTTGGAGTTTCAGCCTAGTGTAGGGAAAAAGTAATTCCATGTTATGGCATTTTGTGATTTCCCTGTGTTAGAATTTTAATTTTGTTGAGGAAAAAGGGCTTTATCAATCACCTTATTTCAGCTTTCTAACTTTTTATCCCGAAGGCAATTTAAGGAAAACATAAACCTGATGATCAGCTCTGAAGAATTTGGAGACTTGATGATGCTGACCTGTTAGAAGGTCCATGCAAAAAAAATGAGAATCATGGGTTGTACTTGCAACGTTTAATTGAAGTTGCTGTGAATTTCCTTCACAATGGGCAGCCAAGATGCCTGACAGAGTAGCAGGGTGCCCCATGAGAGTGCTGTGAGCTCCACCTCATGGGTCTGCATGTGCTGAGCTGCTAATGGCTGGTCACAGTCACAAAGCTTGGGTTTATGCTTAGCTGTCTCATCACTATTTCATACAGAAAAAACCCAACAAACTAATGGTAGTAGCTAATGATTGTTACATAGCTTATAGTATCTTTTCAATCCCATCAATAACAGCATATTAGGTGACACAACTGTACTTAACTTGCTTGTGTGTATGCACACACACATTTAATGTTTATCCGAATATTGAGTGCCAAAGATGGACTAGAGGTAAAAAACCTTGTTTCTCACATTTATCTAACAAAATGTCATTTGATGTGCTAGGGAATGGTGTACTGCCATGTGACAGTACCTGTGACTTCTCTTGATAAAGTCATCATTTACATGTCTTCTGCTTGTATTTCCCCAAGGGTTATTATATGTTGTAGGTAGCAGAGCAGATGGAAACTGTGGCTCTGGGTACAAAAATAGATCTCTGTTCTGGCAGAATTCATCTTGGTGTATTCTCCCTCTACAGAGAAGCAGGATGTGCCCAAGCACATCCTGCAATATAGGTGTTACACAATCAGTCAATCCTGCATTCATGGGAAGAGCTCTGACTGTGTGACTTCAGCATGTATATGTGTCTATGCTGGTTTCTGGTGGATGGTCATGTATTTTTCATATCTAACTGAAAGGCTGTAATATCTAGGACAAGATTGAAAAGATGAGGGAAAGATCTGGGCTTTTCTTCCACTCCTGTAACCTGGAATATGTTCAGCATAACTTCTCTGTTTTGTTGACTATTTGAAATGAAAGTTACATGTAACAGGAAGGTGGTTTGTCTTCGCAGTTTTATTGCAGTAACACATGAGATCCCTAAGAAATTCAGAATCTAAATAAAATATTACTGTCTTACAAGTGCTTTCTACATCTTGCAGGGCTTTAAATAAGATTAGGGAGGAAGGTGAGGAGTTGGTTTTATTATTTCCACAAAGAAACAAATAGATTTATGAAAATTGATGTCCTGTGGCTAGTGGATCAGAAATATGCTGTAGTATTTTAACTTGAACTAAAAAAAAAAAAAAAAAAAAAACCAACAAAAAGCAGAAAAGCTATTTACAAAAATAGCTTTCGAGTGAGATAACTGAATATTTAAATAGGGAACAATAAAATGAACATCATATATAAACATCACAGCCGAGATTTCATAGTAATCCATGCTGGCAGTTAATCCATGGTGGCTTTATTTATAAATTGAAACCATTTTTCAAAATTTAACTTTCATGATACAATATACTTCCATATTTCTACTTTTGTAGAAATTGAATCATGAAATACTAACGACTGCACTTAAATACCTTGAAGGGTTACATGGTGTCTTACTTAATGCAGGTAAAGTATGACTTGTGGTCACCGTGGCAGAACCAATAGGAGATAATGTCCTCCAGGCTACAGAGTAGCAACTCTGGGAAGTATTTCTATCCTATGGACCAGCTTATGGTTTCTCTTGTACGACCTCTTTTGCTCTCCTGTAATACTTGGCCATCATTTCCTGAGCCTTTATGATTTTTTAGAATGGTCTCATTGTATCTAAGCATCAAAAACAACGAGGGGGGCCTCAGCCTTTCTCTCTCTCTCTCTCTGGTGTGCTTTGCAAATAGGCTGAATAGATCATGAAAAAAAAGTTATTGCTTTTAAAGGACGTTCCTTCTTCTCAATACTGGCTTTCCTTCCGACAGAGCAGAACTGTGACAATACAAGGGGAAAATCAGCTGCATTTTGTTTAAACAGAAGTACAAGCTGTCTGACTCAGAGTTGGATCTGTCATTTAACCTTCCTATCCACAGAAGGTGATTTGCTTTTGTACAATTAAGTTTATTTTGCAATACCATAGCTTGAGAGGCGTTTCTGGGCTTTGTTTATCCTGGCTTTAGAGATGCAATCTGTGCTCTGCTCCTGATAAATTTCTCCTTGTGTTCAGTTATGACAGATATTCCTTTGAATTGACTGTATAAAATTACTGTAGCAGCAGAGCAGAGCAAAAATCTAACTGTATTTATGTCTATATTCTACCTTTAAACATGAACATCTGTGCATGCATTCGTCTGTCTCATGTCTGACTCTGTGCTGCCATCCAGAACCTTTTCCTTTTTAATAAACAAATGTTTTCTTCTTTAATCTGTGTGTGTGTGTATTTTATCTCTATTCCTGAAACAAAACTTTCTTGTCCACATACATTTTTCAAATCTTATTTGTATAATTAAATGAAGTATGCAACAGGAAGAGTCCAAGCCAAGTAAATGGTAGTAAATGGCTCTCTTGGAGGAGCTGAAATAAAACAAGCTATTTCTGTGTTGCACATCATTACTATTTTTGTTTGGTTAAGTGAAACCCCTCATTTATGAATACTGAAAGACTTTTTTTGAAATCACTGTATGATCTTATTTTACAGTCTAATTTACACAAGCAAGAAACGTTCAAGGAGAGCTCATGAATTTTCTATATGCAGAAGACTAGAGTGATTCATAGCAGAAGCATGTATTTACGCCTTATGAGATGAAATCCTTTCTTGCACTTCAGTTGTCTCTGTCAGTCATTCATTGATCGTGATAATGACATTCATGGTCAGTTCATTTTCCATGAGGTTTTTGATGTTCCTCTGGAAGCTGCAATAATTAAAAATGTGGTTGCACAGAACACAAATGGAAAATGGTACTTGTAAAATCAGGGAGCAGAAAGTTTCTTTTTAGTGCTTCGTATTTAAAGGATCTTGCAGAAAAGGCTTGTCGTGAAACATTTATTTAACACTTCAGTAAGAAAATACGAGCATCCCTGCTCGTATTTGTATTCCTGGAAGCTCTGCAACTCAGACAGGGCTAGGAAGGCAACCACCAGTAGCCCCTTTCATCAGGATTTACAAGGTATTTAACTAAGAATACTTTTGCCCTTCAATTATTGTTTTCTGTCTTGGGTTTATTACTACTCTTGCCAGAAAAGTAACACTGTCTCCAGTTCTTTAACTAAATTCCTGCTTCTAACTTCTGAGAGAGCAGGAAAACAGAGGAGTAAATTTATAGGTGCTACCTCAAAGGGAAACCACACAACCTGTGCGCTGACATAAAAGCAGGACCAGAAAGTACATGGTAAATAATGACAGTATTTTGCTTCTAGAGGCTTCTCTTCCATGCCAGGATTAGAGATTCATTGCTGCTTTTTCTTTTGTGGCCGGGTGTATTTTTGGTATCATGCTGTCAAATATTTACTCAGAGGAATTATTTTCAGACAGATCTATGGAGAATGCAGATAGGCAGGTATAAAAAAGGGAGATAATCTTTGGGCTGGAAGTGCACTTCTTGCAATGTGTTTGCTTGACCAGCTGTTGACAGCATTGCTTCATATGAAATTCAATGTTCAGAATATTTTCCAAGCAGCAAAGGAAGTGAACTGTGGAATGCTGTTTCCAGCAGTAACTTATACCCTGTTTAAGCAAAGGGAGAGGGAGGGCTTTATCTCTAATATGGAAACATGCTTCTGGCTACCTGAAAAGCTTACCTAGCTGATAAGCAAACAAACCTCTCATTGTTGTTACCAGTGTTGTGTTGTTACTGCCATGTTAAATTATATATAAGCTGTAAGAACCATAAAATTTTAATTAAAAAAATGTATCTACAGGCAATTCTGTGCTGTGCAGGAGCTTTTTCTCACTGTTTTATTCTGTGCACCAAAACATTATTTCATACCCTTTGAATGAGTTTGGCTTTTCTAACCAAAAAAAGTCTTAGTCTGAAGAAATTAGTTCTTAAAAAAATTTTCTTTCTGCTTTACTCACTGAAAAAAGTGAGCTGTTATATTTTAATGGTATTCCTCTAGAAAAGCACATTAAAGCAATCGAGTATTTTAATATTTAATTATTTCTAACCACCCTCACATTTACA